GCGCACTAGACACACCTACCCCTACCGGACTGAACTGGTGGGTTGCTATGACAAGCGGCGCGTTGCCACCACCCAAAACACAGCCCACTTGTAACAGAGTTTGTGGGTCCCGGATCAGATTTTTCTTTCCCCAAAAAAACCCCCCCCTAAAGGGGGGGAACATCCTCCCCCCTTTTAAAACAAAAAAAAATAAATTCTTTTTAAATTTTTTTTTTTAAAAATTTTAAAAAAAATTTTTTTTTTTTTTTTTTTAAAAAAAAAAAAAATTTCTCCTTTCCAAACTTTTAAAAAAAAAAAAAAAAAAAAAATTTTTTTTATTTATAAAAATATAAAAAAAAAAAAAAAAATTTATAAAATTTAAAAAGGCCCCCTGGGGGGGAGAATGTTAATTTATTTTTTTTTTTTTTTTAAAAATTAAAATTTTTTTTTTTTTTTTTTAAATTATTTTTTTTTTTTTTTTTAATTTTTTTAATTTACATCCAGGTGACCATTTGCTGGAAATGTTGTTCCGTCAACATTTACTTTCCTCTTCATTCTTTTTTTTGTTTCACATTTTTCTTTTTTACATTTTCTGTATTGCAACAAATTGTATTATCGTGGTACCAACTATCATAGATGTATTTAACAGGGTTGGTTAACTCATTCTCTGACCCTCCACTTCCCACTGATCTCTCCTAAAACGACTTTAACCCACAAATCACTTCCCAGTTCTTTCAATCAATGTTCTACTCAGAAGATTCATTTCTGTTTGTATAAGGATAGCAAGTCAGAGCCCTACAGAAGTTAGACATATCTCAGCTTTCTCTCACCCAATCAACACTGCATAGGCTTATTTATCACTGGACAGTGTTTCCCACACTGCAGACTGGTAATTTCAGACTCATTGGACTCATATACCTGGTCTTTCACAGGCTTCAACTACCTGGTCTTTTCCCAAACTTTTTTAATGGCCGTTTTGTTTCCTGTATCTGAACAGAAACCATTCAACTCCAGTTCAGAGGTTTGCTGTGGTGATGGGAGTTTATTGAAGCATGCCAGCATACTGGTGAAATACATTTGCATGATGACCTAAACGGTCAAATTAGCAAGGGGGAAGGCAACAAGAAGAACATACATTTGGTATATGACCAGATCAAGATACATCCAGCAGATCATGGGACCAAACCAGTAAGGCTGCCGGCTCCGAGATAACACTTGGGTAGCAAGTCTGCACTGCCTAAATGTGAATTTCCGTCATCACCTGCATACAATTTTCTTTGCCATATGCATATGGCAAAACCCACCCTTGTACCCACAGTGCACACAAAGGCCATTTCTTTGCAACTATTTGGATGGAAATATTTGATAGTGATTCCTTTCTAAAATAATCTCACAATCTCTCCCTGCCCTCACCCCCAATACATTTCCATACTAAGATAACGCCCACGCGTTTTTTACCACTGTTCTTTAGAGCCTGCACTCTCTTATAAGATAAGATAAAAAGATGAATATCATAATACTGACCTCTAGTAGGTTTTTTGTGTATATTAATCAGTATTCATTCTACTGTATTCATACAGCATTTATTTATAGTTTTAATTTTATCAGAATAAATTTACTTCAATACTTGCACTACAGATATTTGTCAGCCAAGAACAGAGGACGTGTCTGAATAATATTTCTGTGTTTTTGGTATTTATCATTTCAGTTTTTGTGAATAAATATTTTTTAATGGTTTTCCTACATTTTCATCAGTACACCTTTTTCTGTATGACACACACAAAGTGATGAACTGAACCCAGATCTGTCCTCCAAACAGTTGAGCCACCATGGCTGGAATCTTTCCTGCTTCATTCTCTTCTTTGTTAAGTACATGAAGGATCACAGATGGGACATTGAGTGTGAGCGTACTGTGTGTCACTTTACTAATGTCACATTACATGATACGTCTTGCTGCCATTTGCAGCTACAACCAGAGTTTCCAGTCAGGACCACCAGTCAAAAACTTAAACAGTGAGTTATAAAAAACATGTCCTCTCCACAATATCTTCCAGCAACACGTAAGGAATACATAAGGAATAAATTTTTATCTATTTCATTATACAGTCCTGTTGGCATCTTTAGTCCATTATTAATGAGCGCCCTTCTGCACCATCTGCGTGAAGCGGTTGGTGATGGTCAGGGTGGTGTCAATGAAACGCTCAACGCAGCTCTGCAGGCACGTCTCTGTCCGGTAGTCCAGTTTTGAGCCTGGACTGTCCACACACTTATCCCAGCAGACATCAGTGAAAGTGTGCACCTGGAACAAACATAAAAGGCAGATGAACAGCTGATATATACAGACAGGTGACAGACTAGAACCTGAATGAACGAACAGAGAAACAGGAATGGTTTGATGAGAATGAAAATGATGTGAATCAATTAAACATCTACCGAAGAATGGAGAGGGTTCCAGAGACTAGCAGCTTTGTGCTGTTCTTTTCTTTGTCACCCATCAAGTCACAGTGATGGACTTCTGAACAGGTCGCAGAAACTGTCACACTAATTATGGTTGGATGAATTACCATTCGCCTTCTAGTGATCACTGACGATTTACTTTTTCCATTCTTTTTTTCCTTTATTCAATTTTCTTTAGTTTGTCCCCCCTTTTCTTTAATTGTTATTATTATCATTATTTAATCTTATTCAATTATTTATCTGTATTTTAGATGTTTTTTTGGGTTACCTTGTATGGCGGTCTGGGATGGGGGGTGTTGTGTGTTGTGCTGTTCTTTGTTTAAACTAATAAATAATAGTAATGTGTTGAAAAACAGAAATGACTTTAATGATCTGCAGCCTGTCGCACCAACTCTAAGTAACAACTAAATATTTACACACGTCCCTAAGGTAGTGTCACAGAATGATCACTCAGCATAATGTTTTCATGAATTGCAGCCATTTTGTGACACATTAATCGAGTAGAGACCCAATGTATTGATATTTCATTACGATGAGCTACGATGCCAGGTGGTTCATATCAGCTAGAAAGCTAATGTGCACGGTAACCATGGTGATTGAACAATTGGCCACTTACTGTGGTTAAGACTTCACGTCCAAACGAGTTAAGTTATGCCTGAAGTAATGGTAGTGCAACCAACTTTAGTAGCTGATTTAGTTACAAACTGATGAGCAGTTACTGAGTGTCGCCCTTACTAACTTAGGAGAGACTGTACACACAGCGGGTGCACAGCTGTCTTCTTCTCCCTGATGCTTGGCCATTGTTCAATGAGACCAGTGGTTCTCAAACTTTTTCGGTCATTCCCCACTTTGGACAAGGGGGAATTTTCAAGCCCCACCTGCTCCCATCGCCCCAACCCAATGCTAATGAAATATGCAACAAGCTTAAAATTTTCCAATTTATTGAAGTAACAAGTAGTATCAGTATAGTAACAAGTTGTATCTAAATACAAACTAACTATCTACATCAATTCCTGTTACACTTGTGATCGGTCTAATAAGCGGCAACACACAGCTATAAGGACGGTTTGCTCTCACACGCACTGCATTTATAGTCACACACACACACACACACACACACACACACACACACACACACACGCAGTCACTCTCTAGTCTAGTGCGCGGTCTTGCTCCAGATTCCGGGAGATTGGATCTCATTTGTGGGCGTCAAGGAGCCGCTGTCAATATGCGGGAGACTCCCAGAACTTCTGGGACAGTTGGGATGTCTGGATAAAGATATAAAGGCATAAAAAGGAACATTTCCTCCCGTGTGGTGTGCCCCACCTGTCAGTCTCTATTCCCCACCAGTGGGGAGCGCCCCACACTTTGACAACCGCGGAATTAGAGAATTTACTTAACATTTACTTTTCTTCACAGAAGTGAACCAAATGCTGGCATATAGGCCTACTGTGTATATTTCTTAAGAAGACCTCACGACCCCACATGACGCTTTGGCAAACCCTAGTGGGGGTCCGGACCCCCAGGTTGGGAACCACTGGTTTAGACTAAGTGACAGTTTTAAGTTCAATGAAAAAAAAAGACATGTATTTGGAAAAATGTCTTAAGATTTGGAGATTAAAATAATTTCTAATGCCACCTTTAAATACTTCACTAATGTACCACACTAATGTAATGTTTTTGAGTTCTAATATCTTCATTTGGGACTCCTCCAAGCAAATATTGATACATGTGATTGATTAGTAGCAACATTAAGCATTGGTAAAATCCCACATGATGTTCTCCAACTGGCGTCGTCTTTATGACAAAGCAAAGAAACCTTGAGCTGTGAGATCTTCCACGGCACAGTGGCTCATTATCTGCCGGCGTGTGGCCTCGCTCTCTCGGATCAGTGCTAAAGTGCTACAGGGTTTAGCATGGTTAGCATACCAACCTGTGCCTGGAACTGCGCTTTCTGTTGCTCTATGGCGATCATACGCTGGAGCTCCGTCGCCTCCGCTTTCTCCGACGCACTTATATTGTCATAACCGTCCATTGTGTTATTGAATAGTTACAGAACAACTCCGTATTCACACACAGTTGGCGGAGACAAGATGAGGTGACCTTCGGTTTCACCGCGAGTGAGCGCTGCAGCCGCTCAGATAGCACAGATCTACAAATCAGACGATGCGCCACACACAGGGGCGGATCCTGCGTGCGCAGTGTGGAAATCTGCGTGCGCCGTGTGACACAGGAAGTGACACTTTCAAAGATATTTCTATATACACATATACATATATATATTCTGTATAAAACACCTCTTTGCCTCTTGGTTAAATGATAATATTTAATTTGTTTGTTTAGTTTCGTTTTAGTTTTCCTAAATGTATTACCTAATATATTATATTAATTATATATTAATTATTATGTAATTATAATGATTAAAATAGATGTTAATCATTATAATTCATCTACAGCGGACTATTTCAATAAGTAGCTCCTAAAACATATGTTATATATTTTGCATTGAGTAATAAAAGCCGAGAGAACCTGAGATGACCCCAGAGGGGCTCCGTATATTTAGGCTGCTGACGGCGCAACAACTACATCCGGGTAACTGTGGTGACCTTGGTTGGTTGATCATCATGGCGGCTATCGTCAGCTTGAGTTCTGTGTGTCGCAGAGGAGTCAAACGTGAGTACTTCTGCCTGTTCTCCGTGTTTCTGGGTTTATTCAGTATGTGTGCTAGTTGTAGTAGTTTGAGAGCAGGGCGTTTGACAGACGGAAGGTCGAACAGGAGCGGTGTACGAACAAACCCGGGCTGGAAGAGACTACTGCTTCAAGTTCACGACTTTAGTTCAGCGAGCCTGTAGAGTCTTTATTACTGGGTAGCATCGCTGCTAAACTTCCACCTCTCGGACGGATTAACAGCGATGTCCACTGAGGGGGGACTGACGTGTTTTTACCATAATGACATCAGACTGACCGACCATGACGTTATTGCTCGCGCGATATAATCCCCAGACTGTACACCACCAAACACCGTCTAGAAGTTTGTGAAGTATACGTTAACACACACATTGACGAAATTACACACCAGTGAAAACGGAACTGCAGACATTTTCCGATGTGGCAAGACTCTGTTTTAAATTCGGCATATGTCACAGACACTAGAGAGCATAGTAGCTCCTTCAGTAAAAGTTCATGTTAAGCCAAGACTGCTCGCCACCGCCCTCCTTTGACTCTTTGGGTCGACGCCTTCCACCCTCCAATATACACACACACACACACACACACACATACATCACACACACACACACACACACACACACACACACACACACACACATACACATACACACACACACACACACACACACACACACACACATACACACACACACACACACACACACACACACACACACACACACACACACACACATACACACACACACACACACACACACTCCTGCAGTACCAGAGGCTGCACTTTCAGGACCGCATCTCTGGGACCTTAGGTCTTCGCGACAGCGCCACCTAGCCAAATACTACTTTCTACCAAGGTTTTATGGGTTTATTCCACCCAAATACTACTTTGTCCAAGTACTTCTTTACAGAGCTTAATGTTGGGCTATTTGTGTAATTAGTTCATTATAATCAGGTAAAATAAATATGAGGTCACAGGGCTCCAGACTAACTTTTTGCATCGGTTGCACTGGTGGGCCTAACTTTTTTTTGTTTAGGTGCACCAGCACAAAATGTAGGTGCACCCAAATTTTTCATTGCGTCACCTTTAACGCCATAAGGTCATCTTTTTATCGCTCTCCATAACTTTCATATAATGTGAATGATTTTTAAACAAGAACAAGGTGCTTGTCTCTATTTGAAGTGCAATTATATATAAAAAGAAAAATAAAGTGTTTAAAGTGCTTCACTGAGCTGAAGTTGAACATTTCAAACTAAAACACGAAGCAAAATAAAACATTTCCAAATAAAAGAGGACCTGATTGCTACTACCTGCTGCTGAAATGCAGCTGGGAGAGGGGCCACTTTCTCTACACACTTGTCACGGCATATCGTGTGTTTTTTAGACATGTTATGTTTTTTTAAAGTTTCGATACGAAACGTTGTTGACCCGCTCACAAATGCACTGTTTCCGGCCATATTCTGACCGCACTCCTGACAGTACACGCAGTGCATTGCGTTACGTCCTTTGTTGTACCTCAGCCAGGTAAATAGTTTCAGCCAGTCCTGTCTGAAGGAATATATTTTGACCTTTTTAATTTGGGTCTCGGAGCCGGGCTCTATCCCAGACTCGGTTGTCTCCTCCTCTGGTTCCGAGTCTGATGCTGTCGCCGAAGGACCGGGGATCGGCAGTTTTTAAACACACACAATTTAGCGCGACGAACAGGACCACAGCCAATCAGAGGCAAAGACCCGCCCGAGCCCTGTCTCTTATTGGTTTAGAACACAATATGATCCTACCATGAGTGTGTGAGTTTGCTCACAGGAGAACACAGAGAGATGATGTGCTTATATTTTCACCTGGGCAGCGTCAGGTGCACTCTGGAGCCCTGGGTCATATTCTACGCCCCCAGTCACTAGATCTCAACCACATATTGGAAAGGCTGGATAGAGACAAAACAAGAACAACTCTGGGGATAGATTCAGGATTTTTAAAATATTAATATTAACAACAAGCAGCAAACTCCATCTGATTCGGTAGGTGGCATTGTCACGGAAAACTAAGGTCCTACAAATGTGTTCCTGAAAGTGCCGCCTCTGGTTTGGCTGTGAATGGAAAGCAGATTTGTTGAATCCTGTTATTTTGTTGTTTTTTTTACCCAGTGTTTATAGCAGTATATAAAAGGAATGCACGACTGCTGTCAGAGTTCCTTCTGTTATGGTGGTGAATAAATGTTTTCAAGACAAAAAATATATAATATATAATCAACACTGGGAAATTGTGAAAATTGAAAATGAGAAATTATGTGGAAAAATTAACATATTTGTAAGTTTTTAAACTGTCTTCATAATGTCAGTGACAGGAACAGTTAATGTTTACAGTAAAAGTTTATGTCAAGTTATTTTAACATCATTTGTTTTAGTTGAGGCATTCTGAAATGATGTAAGAGTATGATAGTTTTATTGAGTGGTTTATAGATTTACATTCTGGGTTAAGCTATGTTAGAATGTGGTCATTTCTGAGCCCTTTTGGAAACATGACTGTTTGTCTTCTCTCCTCAGCTCTGTTCTACCAAAGCACTTTGCTGGCCAGGCCACTGGTTGTACCACACAAATACCAGGAGCAGCCCTACCTGCTGACAGCCAAGATTCATGCATCACAGGCTCTGCACGGTCAGTGCTGACAAGCATGCTTGTACATGCAGTGTATATACAGGAAGTATATTGAATAACAGGAAAATCTTAATATACATAGTAAAGCCACAGGGTGAGCCATAACCACAGAGTTGACCCCACTGACACAGTTCCATCAACCAGATAACGTATAAACTACACTTGGGTGGGGTTAGGATAAATCTAATACCTTTTTACTATAGTGCAAACAACAACACAGCAAATCATTTAACGTAAACTCCCAGCACACCATCTAGTGTCTCTCCTTCCAGGCAGGCGGACTGCTGATGACCTGATTCTCAGGACGTTGTTCGGAGTTCTTACATGGAAACAGTTTCTTTTTGATGAGATTAGAGCTGTCTTCAACTAGTGGTGTTCCATGCTGGTAGGCGTTCTTCCGATGGCATTTAATGGCAGACTAGAGTATTTGTAGGCACTTATGCTGCCCCGTCAGGTCCGGAAGAATTTTGTACGCTACTGTAGAAAAACAAGTACCTTAAAGTTTTATAATTTTGGCATCTATTTGGTCAGTGTCAGCTCTCGTGACATCCCTGGTCCAAGTATCACAGTACATTTTGAAATGGTCAGAGTCCAGCGTAGAATGTTGAATATTAATGGCAGTGAACAGGTTAAGGGTGTCTAACAGGATCATTTTGGTTGCTATTGTGGTGATCATTCAGTTTAGTTGCTTTTGACTGATGTGTGTTTTTCCGTTTCACATGAAAGCAGGCGGCCTCGATTTTAAATGGTGGTGCTATCACAACACCAGTTTCATATGAGGTCTGCTTAACTTGAGCAGGTGTCATCTGTGGCCCCATTACAGTGTGACAGAAGGGTCTCTGGAAAGCCACATGTACCAATGTGTCAAATACCAAAAGTGGGTCAAACTCTTAGTCTTGTTTACTTGAGTCTGTTTTCCTTGATTTAAATCATAATTTTGTTTTCTGAAGTGTAAAAAAAGTTATTTGGCAAAAAGTTGGCACCAGAACCAATACATTGGGTGAATTGAGAGTGTGTGTGTGTGTGTGTGGCATCATGTCATCTTCATGTAGCATGAAGTATTAAAAAGTTACATTCTTTGGTTGCATAATCATTGATGAGATATTTCCTGATCTAAACCAAGGAAGCTTTTTATCATGAGACCCACTGACAGTATATATAAGGTTAGACCACATTATTGTTGTTAAAGGTGTTTAACATTGACACATTGACCAATTTGACAGATTTTGTTAAATGAGAGGGGGTTCAACAGTCACAAAAACAGTTTGACACGTTGTTTCATACTAGGACTGTACGATGTGGTAAAAAAAAATCATACTGTGATTATTTGAACAAAGATTATTGCCAAATGATTCACGATTAGTGGGAATATTAGGTCACCATTATACGTTTTCCAGAAAGAAAAAAGGTATGAAGTTCCAAATACCTCGCTGTGTCTTATCCTAAAGAAAGACTTTGACTTTTTAGGAGTAATATAGATAATAAGGTTGATACCACTTGCTTATCTTTAGTCAACAGCCCGGTCAATAAATAGTTCAGTACAAAACCGTCATAAAACCACATTGTGTCTTTTTCATTTTCTTCTTTGGTTTGGTTTAAACAAACAAGATATGACCTGTTAATAAGAGAGCTGTAAAGATGCTGGTACGTGGATTTTGTTACCTTTGAGTCACGCTAGCTGTTTCCCCCTTTTACCCGTCTTTGTACTAAGCTACAAAGAGACAAAAAAACAACCACACAGACACAAAACAACTACAGAGAGAAACAAAATACTACAGAGAGACCCATAATGAAGTCTGCTAATAAACCACTGTTTCTCTTGCTCTACAGCGGGCTCTGGCTCTAAAGCTGCCTCTCTGCACTGGACAGCAGAGCGAGTTTTGAGCATCCTGCTGCTGGCCATGGGGCCCGCAGCCTATTTTAGCCCCAGTCCTATGGTTGACTACTCCCTGGCTGCTGCCCTGACCCTGCACGGACACTGGTAAGACGAGCAAACACTAACTAGAACCTGGTTGTCATACCCATAATTCAACTGTCAAACAGATCATGTCTCACTAATGATGCTTTCCTTCTATCTTTTTAGTTTTTACATTTAACACATTCAATGTTACACCGTCCATTTCCAACCGACCACTTTTACATGAGTGACTTCCTGTTTGCTTGGCAGGGACCCAGCAAAGACCACATACCAGAGGAAGGCCTAACCAAATACTGCTCTTTATGCAGCAGAGCACGTGAGCAGAGTGGAACAGTGAGGATTTCCGCTCCTAGCCCACAGAGCCGTGAGGGCGCTCTGCTCAAAACCGTTCCACGCTTAACTCAGAGTTCACCCCGCTCCACTGTATTTAAATTTGAGTTTAAATCCTGTTTAAGATGTGTGATACAGCTGTATGTCACACCGGGGACACAGGCAGCGGGACAGAAGCCCTCCCTGCTCTTTTTGAATTCATTGTTGCAGGAGAAGAGACACCCCGCTTATCCATGAACACATAATTCATGAGGTTATTATGAAAGTCAGCTGTACGTGTGATTTTTGTGATTTAAGGAAAGCAATACAGCTCATGCATGAATTGACAATGAATAGGAAGCCTGGAAATAATCCTGGTGCCACATACAGTCGTACCAGAGGTAGGCATACGCTTACCAGAGTGAGACTGGAGCAGGATGGAGCTGGAGATAAGGCGATGCTCCAGCTATTTTAAATAACCATCATGAAGGTTATAATCTTCAGCTTTTGTTGTTGTTTTTTTGACATTTCAGAGAGGTGTTCAAATTAGGGCTGCAGCTATCGAATATTTTGGTAATCGAGTATTCTATAGAATATTCCATCGATTCATCAAGTAATCGGATGAAACATACTTTTGCTTAATTAAAGCCCAATTATAAATACACAATAGAAAACAAGACAGATCACTGTTTTCAGTTTTCAGTCCCGGCGTTTGCCGTTCTGTACAGCAAAACTGTCCACACACGTTACAGAGCCCGCTTCCGTCTTCTTCCGCGTTGTGACGTAAGCACGTTGTGTCACACTAAAAAGAATCCGTGCACAATGTGAGCTTTACGAGGCTTCGAGGCAGACGAAATTCCTCGATCATTCTTTGTAATCGAGGTACTCGAGGTACTCTAGGAATCGTTGCAGCCCTAGTTCAAATTCTACTTCATGCTCATTTTGGGGGCTAACTGAATGCTTGCAATATTAGAAACCCCTCTCACTATAAACCAGGGTTTTTGGCTCAATGTCTAATAAGGGGAAACTAAATTTTATTTTTTACCAGCCATAAAACTGCATCATGCATTTTCTGGCTAAAACTAATTACCGTTAGTTTTGAGCCTTTCTGAACCTTCTGAGCATGGTGGTTCAACATGGAGGGCAACCCGCTGCATGTGTAGAAATAAACTCATTCTAAAGCAACAAAAACATAATTATTGTTATTTTCAGGTGATTATACACTAATGTAAACATAGTTTTGCATATTATTTAAACATACATTATATTGGATCCCCCCACACACACACACACACACACACACACACACACTGGACCTTTTACACCAGAAATTTGTTGCCACATCTCTAATAACATGTCCAGGAAAAACATAGACATTGTGTAGTAAGTTGATTTGATTTGATTTACTGCCGTCACAGTTGGTATGGTAAACAATGAGGGTCACATAAGTCTCAGCCGGTACACACCAATGTGGCCAGTAACCTGTTTATTTTTCCCCCAAACCCAAAATGTACCTGCATTGGGTACCTGGTGATTGTTCATTTTGGACCCTGATATAAATAAATATAAACTCCAGCCTCAAGAATGACCGGTTAATTGAAATGACACACTGACTTCACTTATCCTGGGAAAACGCAAATGTGGAGGGTAAATTCCTTCATCACGAGGTCTGCAGGGAGTTGTAGTCGAATGGGATTGGAGCGTTAATTTAGCATCCAGGTTAAGTGCAGTCATCCTCTCCTCCGTGGAGACTGCTCAGACTGCCATCTAACAGATCAAGGGCTTTTGGGGAGTATGAATGAAAGTTCTTCAAACCCTCCACAAACTTATTTCCCAACCGTTCCTACCCAGTAAAAGATTTAGCTTGTTCGCTGACCCTTACCGCACAAAAGGCAAACTTTGTGCCCCGGAGGGTTATTGGTGGGTGGGGTTGGGATTCAGCCATCTCGCCGTTAGCTGTCGGCAGCTATTAATTCAGCTCTGGTTAGTTCTGGCTCTGTTTGCAGACTTGAGAAGGTGGCTTTAGCTTAGCGTCACAGCGCTGTGTCCGTCCATCAGTTAGAGCGCAGAACGAACAGCATGGCAGGTGTAAGGCCACAAATCCCAGTCATGAGTAGTGAGAAGTCTTGTTAAGCAACAGCTTTCGGGGGCAGGTCCATTAGCTCGAAGGGTCAAGCCATGTCTGGTTTGACCAAAACCAGTTCGACAAATGCCCCGATGTCATTTGGCGACGTCATTGCCACGGTTTGAAACATAAGCAAAGTCTGTGCCTAATAGGATTTTATAGCAGTAAGGAATGTTGGAACTAAATGCCAACCTGATGAACATGGCTTCCATAAGTCATTAAGCTTTTTGAGTTGAGGTGGAAGAGGGGGCAAAATGGATGGTTAAACAAATGTGTTAAATTATGAAACTAAACTAATAAAGGCTAATTTTTCGTACTTTTCTATTTTACAGAAAAAATATATAGAAATTGACGTTAATTGATTTTGACTTGTGTTGTGCGCTCCGTAAACTTGCATGCAGTAAATACACTTAGGCAATGGCAGTATCTGATTTAATATGCGCTTGAACATCAACATATGTGGGGTTTTATTCTGTGTCTCAAGCTCACAGCTTTAGTCGCTGTATGCGTATACTGGGGAGGAATGGGAACACTTGGGAACTTTCCTGAGAACCCCCTGGTTTTTAACATTTCTTCAGAATCAAAGTAATTCATCTAATGGTACACAGCAAAAAATGTTAATGGCTAATTCAGCAAACTTCATTTTCCAAAATGATGGCGATACATCAGGAAAGGTGGCCTCTCCGCCTTAGCAGCTCCAGCTCTGTATAAGGTGACGTTTGTTTGGCCATCCTAACCACTTTGTATGAAGCACACTGAGGCCAGTTCTGAAAACAATCTGTTTCTCTCTTCACCGATTGCTCACCCTTTTGTGTTTGCATATATTTTTGTCTCGTAGGGGTATCGGGCAGGTGTTAACGGACTACGTTCACGGTGACACAAAGATCAAGATGACCAATGCAGGTCTCTTCCTCCTGTCCACAGTGACCTTCGCTGGTCTTTGCTACTTCAACTACAACGACGTGGGCATCTGCAAAGCCATCGCCCTGCTCTGGAGCAAATGAATAAAACTGTGGACTGGGAAACTTGGGAGGACCTAGACACTGGGACGCGAGCGATCTTGTCCTGGCTGATTGTAAAAATTCAAGTTGTTTAATGTAAATTCTTATAAATATCATTTTGACAATATTACGGTGATTCACAAGTGTGTAATTGTGATGACGTCGATCAATTCTGGCTCGTCTGTTAAGTTCTGGCTCTGTCTAGATACAATAATGATTTTTCAACTAGCATCCATTTTCGAATATGTGGGAGAGTAGCTTGTTTGTTGTCAGTGTGGACTCTAAGCTACGTTCCACGGTAGATCCTGAACAGCAACATGTCCAGTTATTTAAAGTGTCACTACCAGTTCTACAAATAAGAGATATCCAATATACTGAAATGTAATTGTTATATTTACTGTGGACATGCATGTTTTCAACAAAACTGCTACAACTTCTATCAAGTCGTACAGGAGAGTTTGATCTAATTTATTTTTTAAATGGTCCTTTTTGTGGCAGATTTCCTAAATGTGTTTTGTTTCTGTCACAATGTGTACATACCACCCCACACTTACAAATGAATTCATACACGGTCCACTTTGTGCGTCTGTTGTTACTCACCATGTCACTCAGTTTCGGTGTACTCCAAGGAGCAAATGTTGGAAGCAACTTGAAGTCACAGGTTGTATTATGAAACCTCTTGCATCGGCCTGTTTAATCCAGGAGATTGCTGCTCTGTCAAAGGTTCTATGAAGTCAAGGGAGGCTACATCTGATCAGAAATTCAAGCCATCCAGTAATAGTCAATGTTCCTGTGCATCAGCACAATGGCTAATGAAGTCTAGCAAAGTCTTGTCAGCTAACAGTGTATAACCCACAGCAGGGTCTGAAATCAACAGCTGCACATTGCCGTCCTCACTCAAGACAGTAACAGTGACTAATATGAATGCCTCTAACATATTGAGTCATGATGTACTTCATGTATGGATTACAAAGTCCTTCTACTGTGTGAGTGAGCAAACTGCATATTAAAAAAATTAATTTTGAAAATAGTAACAATGTACTTTAATTTAGACAATTTTACAATTCTTATAGTTAAGTTTACAACCTCATGGCAAATAAAATAAAGTCAGTTTCAGGCCCTGTTCCTGAACCAGTGAGAGCCTGTTTGATAAAATTGTGTCATGTAATCTAGGAACACTTACTCATGGTATACACACACAGTCCTTGCATGCAGCTATTAATACCAGCAATTGCCTGTGTACTGCTGGAACAAGTGTTAATCGCTGTAAAATTCTAAGTCCTGTATTCAATCTGTTGATGAGAGCTTACAAGTACGGTTGATCTGTTTGCTTCCTACAGCAATTGTCCATTTGTAATATCTGTTCAATTCATGTCATTTCAGATTATACGCACAAAATGAGATGTGGCAAGGAAAATGTGCTGTTCCTGCCTCAGCAGAATAAAGTTGGCTTTACAGAGGTTTTCATATTTGGACAATTTATGACCTGAAAATACACACAATATATACAATGACAAGAGTAGAAAAGGTATGTAATAGAGAACATAAAAATGAAGAAACAACACAAATGATCTGTACTGTTACACATTGAAATGAGTGATACAACTAGAAAAACTATATATAAATATAAAAAAAACTAATCACACCTACAAAAAGATGCATTCACTTTGAGTACCTTTCTGTTTTGTATTATTCGTATAAAAAAAACTGACATGAAGTCTTACTGGGAAAAACAAGTCTTGAAAAGGGACATTTTGAAATAAAAATGCCTATAATTAAATATAAATAAAATCCAATAAAACTTAACAATTAAAATGAATACTGAAATACTATAATATTCACTATAATTATTATAATTCAATGAATTGAAGCTGAACAATTTTTCCACTTGTGTCACAAATGGTTGGTTCATGTAGATGTCTCTATTTAATATTGAAAACCTCGGGTTTCCACATGCTCCAAGGTAGTTGTAATTAATTATATTTAAATGATTCAATGAAGAAAAATTTCTTCAACTCAAAACTCTGACACACAAGCTATTTATGAGACTGTCATCCCAGTTGGTTTGTCAAATGCGTCTTTTTGCTATTGAACAGAGCAATTATACTCTACTTATTACTACAAATGACACTATTCTGGCTTTGATAAAGGTCATGGAAACGGTATATTCCGTTTGGATATTCCGAATTAGGCCTCATTCCAAAGGAAGCATTTTCCACTAAGATATCTAGGATATTATTCAGGTTTTAGGAGCAATCTTTTTTTAGAAAAATACATAGAATTGAGCTTGGACCAATGTTTTTGATCACAAGAGTAAGAACTATATTTGTTTATGAAAAGATATATTACACACACATATACACAGATGACCACATTTGTTTGATCGTCATAAGAAAAGTACATCTGTACCAGATACTCGTTTCAGCAGAGTACCCGGCTCAACCCCAATGATGACATTTACAACTCATTTACACTTTGACTAAATTAATCTCGCAAGGCTCGTCCACACTCTCTTTACATCGCAGGACCAGTTTGTACAAAGTGCAATTATCTACAACCATTTCCTTAAATGCTAGGAATTTATCCCTGCAACAAGAGGACCGAAGGTTATACTTCATTGCTGACAACTTCTCCATGTAGAACAGCGCCCTGTGTTCATTTCCATCAATGTTTTCTGGAAGATCCTACACGAAAAAAACATGAGACAAACCTGATTTAATTGTCTGAATGGAAAAGGAAAAATAATTGAAAGTCTAAGCAGTATATGATAAAAAATAAAACCGGGATATCAATTGTGGTATCAAGGTGCAAAGACATTTCAGACAAGTTCTATGCAAGGAAATATGCATAGTTTAGCACAGTTCAGCATACCAAGCCTCAGAAAGCTTCTATTATTTGATCAAGATAAAATATGTTTTATATATTTTTGTCAAAGAAAATCTTTTTCAGTCATAATCTGTCTTCAATCTCATTTTGTGAAATAAAAAAATAAACTAATAAATTGTAAGAGAATCCTGAATCCAGCATTGAGAATTGATTTAACTTCTCTATTATCACTTGTTTATACCATTCTGCAGGACTTCCATTAACCCTTGAGGCACCTTTAAAACGAACATAGAAGTTTGAACCCGGGGACCCAAAATGGTCCCTCGTAAAAGTGTAATAAAAATGTCATATATAAACATTTTTTTTCACTTTCACCACATCAAATCTTTTCAACAACTTCAGACCTAACCATAGATACAGAGTTTTCATTATTTTCTTAAGTTCTTATGCCCTTTTGTCATAAAAACACCAGATTTTCTAAATGGGAAAAACACAATGTGATTATTTTCCAAAAATGAGGTGCAAAGTGGAATATTTGGGATGAGGTTATAAGAGCCTTGACTGGGTCAATAATTGATAACAACATTGATTTGGATGCATTATTATTTTTGGAACAACAATAAAAAACAAATCCTGGCCATGTTTCATACAATTAGCCTTTACACTGACCGATATATTGAGAATCAAACAAGTCAAAAAGGCTTTGGTACCCCAAGGTGCCTCGAGGGTTAAAGTGTAACAACACCCTTCAATTCTTCTAGCTCCCTCCGTCTCAGCAAATTTCAAAAATGGAGGGAGGCTGGGGGAGGTGGGCCGTCCTCCTCTGGTTCGAGGGCATTCATGATGTTTTTAAATATAAATTTCATTGCATAAAGTACTCCCATACGGTCAACTCTATGTCAGTACTGGCCTTGCAAGGTTCAGGGTGAACCGTTAAAACAGTAGACTGCGTGTTGAACCATTTTCAAACCACAAAATGCAGATGTTCATACATTTAGTAATAATGTCACTGTATAGTCAGTTTGCAGCTCAAGAAACAGGTTTTACAGTGGAGTACCTCTAATCTGATCTAATAATAATTTTATCTGATTTAATCTAATAATTGCAATAAGACTTTCTAATAATAATTGACTCTTAATCAGCTGCTATAACATAATTTCCCTTTTGGGGATAAATAAAGTCTCTTTCTTTCTTTCTAATCTCTTATGTAGGACATCTACCATGTAATTCCAGTGAAACTGTCTGTTCACTGTTCTTAATTAGTGCGCTGAAATACCTGTAATGAAAACAATCTGAATATCCAATATCTCATGAAAACATCTCACAATGAGTGAAGTCCTTCTGTGCTACATCTTCTGAACTAGGGACCTGCACCTGGCCTATATCGTTCGGGAAAATCTTGACATTGATTTGAGACAATGACATGACTGAATAGCTAGCTAGTCATGTTGTGAAACATAGTGTCAAATTATATTCACCATTTGTCGACTGCATGCAGTGTTATTGACTGAATTTTGCTAGCATAATGTTAGCTCTCTGACTTGTAGCCAAAGCGATCTATAAGTGGAAGGAACTAGAAACATCTCCCATTGCCAAGTCGCATTGATCGTCCTGTTTACTGGAGTCGTGAACAACATTTCCATTGCATTCTTCCGGGTAGTCGTTAAACCCTCAGGCATTACCAAAGAAACTGAGTCATGGCTTGACTTCGATTACAAAAGGCAAGTGGCCATGGTAGAAGCAAGATAATGCCCTGATTATAATGCTTCCATAATCAGGAATCAGTGGAATCAATATGTTTGATCAATGTATTAAACGAGACAATATGTTTGATCAATGTATTAAATGAGATCAAAACTTCAAATTTTGTCTCCATCAGAATATTTTTTACATGTGACAAATTCACCCCTCTTTTTGGTTTATTTAATAAAATAACCACTCTAATTGGACATTTACATTACACACACTGTAAATAATTGGAATTAATTTATATACACTCACCATTGGCTCAGGACGAACTTCATCATCACTGTGGTAAACCATCAGCTTCTTGCCATTTTTATCTTTCGCATATATCATGACTGCTATCCCATTGTATTCCTGTCCATCTGTACAATCACTATTGTATATCTTGATGTTGAATATGTTGTCTGAAAAGGAAATGCAGGATAGGCAAGAGGAAAAATCAGCATGTCACAGAATGAGGGAGGATCATTTACCTTTTTTTACAGCAGCCATTTTGGCATGAAATAGTAGGGTAAACACGGGTGTTCCCAATTATTATCACAGTGTGACCTGTAATATGCCATTTATGTATTCTTTTTTCCATTATCAGTAGATCAGTTTTAATGGACAGAACAGTTTGATTTTTGGATAATCTTGAAGGACCAGTGTGAAGGATTTAGTGGCATCCTGTGGTGAAGTTGCAGATTGCAACTAATTGGCATCTGTATTTGACAACCTGGGAATGAGTGCTCTCATAGGAGAAACTATGGTGGCTCATTCTAACTAAAAAACATTCCCAATGATTCCCAATGAAAATATACCTATGAATATTATATTAAATTTCTGACAATAGCTCCCCCTAAATGTTACACACTGCACCTTTAAGACAGTTCCTGCATGCTATATGTGCATTGAGTTCTTGGCCTCTGTAATCATTGCTTATGTTCATACTGGCCAGATGCCTTCCTAACAGGACTCCAATATAAGAAATGGGAAAAGTGCTTTCTGCTCACATTGAGGACTGGATTTTTTCATGTTCCCTAGTGGCTGAAAAACAATACTAATTCAATCCTAATTGACAGTTTGAGGGAAGCTTCAATTTTGTACTAATGTAAGATCCAACACATTTCTAACCTCCCCTTCCTCTCTAAATTTCTCTAGAAAGTAGTTGCCAAGCAGTTGTGTGACTTTCTACATAGCAACAGCTTATTTGAGGATTTTCATTCAGGATTTAGAGTTCATCACAGCACGGACACAGCACTTTTAATTACTTCTGACAGTGGACTTGTCTCTGTACCGCATTTGACACCATTGACCATAATATTCTTTTACAGAGACTTGAGCATCAAATTGGCATTAAAGGAACCGCACTAAGCTGGTTTAAGTCATACTTACCAGATCGTTCTCAGTTACCCGTTCCATAAACACTAAAGTTAGTCATGGAGTTCCACAAGGTTCTGTGCTTGGACCAACTCTATTCACTTTATATACAGCGGGTAAAATAAGTATTGAACACGTTACCATTTTTCTCAGTAAATATATTTCTGAAGGTGCTATTGTCATGAAATTTTCACCAGATGTCGGTAACAACCAATGCAAAGAAACCAAAATAAATCATTTCAGAAATTAAAATTATGTGTAATAAAATGGAATGACACAGGGAAAAAGTATTGAACATGCTTACTGAAATGTATTTAACACTTCGTACAAAAGCCTTTGTTGGTAATGACAGCTTCAAGACGCCTCCTGTATGGAGAAACTAGTCGCATGCATTGATCAGGTGTGATTTTGGCCCATTCTTCCGCACAGTCTTCAAATCTTTAAGTTTCCATGGGCCTCTTCTATGAACTCTGATCTTTAGTTCTTTCCATAGATTTTCTATTTGATTCAAGTCAGGTGATTGGCTGGG